TTAATGAATGATCTCACATTTATCTCCTCATTCACTTCACTCCAGTCACACAGGCCTTCTTTCTGTGCGTTGGACATGCCAAACTCATTCTCACTTTAGGGCCTGTGGACCACTTGTTCCCTTTGCCTGGTACACTCTTAAGATCTTTGCTTGGCCAGCAACTTCTTATCATCCCTACACACATACACACACACACACATACACACACACACATACACACACAATCAATACCCAATTTAAGTACGCTTTGAAAGTAAAATTTAAAAAAAAATTTGAGACAGAGTATTGCTCTGTTACCCAGGCTGGAGTGCAGTGGTGTGGTCATGGCTCACTGCAGCCTCAACCTCCCAGGCCCAAGTGATCCTCCCACTTCAGCCTCCCAAGTAGCTGAGGCATGCACCACCACACCCGGCTAATTTTTGGAGAGACAGAGTCTCCCTATGTTGCTCAGGCTGGTCTCGAACTCCTGGACTAAAGCAACCCTCCCGCCTTAGCCTCCTAAAGTGCTGGGATTACAGCAGGTATGAGCCACTGCTCCCAGCCTAAAGTAAACTTTTTATTGAAGTAAAATACATATAAAAGAGTGCACAAATCCTGAGTATACAGCATGATAAACTTTTATAAAGCAAACATCCCTGTATAATGAGGACACGCATCAGGAAACATTACTAACACCCAGAAGTGATCCTTTGTGTCTACCGTCAGTCACTATTCACCCAAAGAATAACCAGTATCCTGACTTTTAACACCAAATATTTGTTTTACCTGTTCTTAAACATTATATAAATGAAATTATACTGTATGTACTATTTTGTGTCTTTTACTCAACCCTATGTGAGATTCATCCAAGTTGCATAATATTATAATTCTTAAATTTTCATTCAAAAATAGGCAGAGGCCTTAAATAGACATTTTTCCAAAGAAGATACACAGATGGCTAATAACCACATGAAAGAGCCACGGCATCACTAATCATTAATCAAAACCACCATGAGAGACCACCTTACACCTGTTAGGATGGCTACTATCAAAAAAACCCAAAAATAACTGTTGAAGAGGATGTGAAGAAACTGAAACACTTATACACTGCTGCTGGGAATGATCATGTTCCAGCTGCCATGGAAGACAGGATGATGGTTCCTCAAAAATTTAAATATAGAATCACCAATACCAAGCGATTCCACTTTGCACCTTGGGTATATACGTAAAACAATGGAAAGTAGTGCCTTATTTTTTTCAGACAGAGTCTCACTCTGTCACCCAGGCTGGAGTGCAGTGGCGCAATCTTGGCTCACCACAATTTCCGCCTCCTAAGTTCAAGTCATTCTCCTGCCTCAGTCTACCCAGTAGATCTTTAAGTCTGCAATCCAGCCATACTGACAGCTGACAATCCCTTGGATGCACCTTGAATGTTTTTATCTTGTTTCTGGGCCTTTGCATGAACCATTCCCTTTATCTAGAATAACATTCACTTAACTTTCTTTACCTGGATAATACCTATTTGACCTTGAGGTGTCTTCCTCCAAAAACCTTTCTGACCCCCAGACCATGTCAGATGTCCCTCATCTGTGTACCTGCTCTTGGGTGCTTTGTACACACATCTATTTGTAGCTTTGATCACCCAGTATGGTGATTGATGGTTTGCAGTTTGTCTTTCCTGCTCCACCATCCTCCACCCCAGTTGAGCTCCTTGAGAACAGAACTGGTTTTGTTCACCCCAGCACCTCATATAATATATGGCTTACAACGTACGTACAATGAATATTTTCATTCGTGTAGCACACTGTGGTTTTCAAAGTGCCCTGAAACAAACTCATCTACAGAGATATAATAATTTCCTTACTTAATGTACATTCCTCCTGAATAAAATATTCTTTAAAAAAGTATTACCATTACTTAGAACATTTCTGCGAAGTAAATTATCCATTATGTCACAAATGGGACCGAGTTGCTATCTCATTTTTGCCTGATATACTAGAATAGTTTGAGAAAAAGCAGGTTTCTTTTGAATCACTTGACTGGAAGTGGGTGTCTCTAGGAGTGTGGTGGGGAAATGGGTGCACGGAACTCAGAAGCTGGCCTCAGCTGACCTCCCATGAATTTACATCCGTGGTTTCCTGGAAGCATAAATTGAGGCCAGGATTCAAAATGTGTTCACACTATAGCCTGGGAGAAACTGTCTCTCAGTCTTTGGAATCACAGAAGTAAAGAGCTTTAGGTTATTTGGTTGAATCTCTGCCTTTAAGAAGTGGGGAAAGCGGCCGGGCGCAGTGGCTCATGCCTGTAATCCCAGCACTTTGGGAGGCC